ATTTATTTGTTTGTTTGTTTGTTTGTTTCTTTCTTTATGTCTTTCTTTCTTGTCTTTCTATCTTTCCTTTTTCTTTCTTTCCTCCTTTCTTTCTTTCCTTCTTCATTTATTTATTTATTTATTTATTTATTTATTTATGTCTTTCTTTTTTTCCTTCTTTCTTTCTTTATTTATTTATTTGTTTGTTTGTTTGTTTGTTTCTTTCTTTATGTCTTTATTAATTATTGTCTTTTTTCTTTCTTTCTTTCCTTCTTTCTTTCTTTCTTTCTTTCCTTCTTTATTTATTTAGTTATTGTTTTATGTCTTTCTATCTATATCTATCCATCTTTCTTTCTTTCTATCTTTCTTTCTTTCTTTCTTCCTCTCTCTCCCTCTGTCTGTACCAGAGTCTGGTTTGTTTGTTTATGAACCCTCTCTTTTCCAGACGATGGCAGGCTGCTGAAGGCCGTGTCGGTGGTCGGAGACGACTGGCAGAAGGAGGAGATCATCCTGGAGGAGTTGGCCGTTTTCCAGGTGAGTCGGAAAAGAAAAAACTTCCATCCAGATCCAGACGTCTCCGGGGGGACCGGCTAAAAACAGACACCCGGGAACGTTTTCCCAAAGTCCTCCGAGGAAACAATCCTCCGGGTGTCAGGGGGGTGGATCTTGAGGGAGGACTCAGGCGCGGAGATGCAAAAAACAGGGTTTATTGTAACAAAACAGGTTAAAAAACAGGGCTGTGGCAAAACTATCAGCAAAGTAACAAAGCAAGGTTTAACAAAACTGTGGCAAAGTATCAAAACAAGACTGTGGCAAAAGTACAAACGAGATAAACATGGCAGTGGTCAAACAAGGCTATGGCAAAGTAACAAAATAAAGATTAACAAAACTGTGGCAAGGCTGTGGCAAAACATGGCTATGGGAAAGACGCAATCGAACTGGCACAGGACATGGGGAACGAGGACTATTTAAACACATGAAAATGAATGTCCAGACAAAGTTCAAATCAAGGCTGTGAAAAACTATGAACAAAGTATCAAAGCAATAAGTAAACGAGACTGTGGCAAAGTATCAAACCATGAATAACAAAACTGTGACAAAACATGGCTGTGACGAAAACTGTGGCTGTGGTTCAAAACAAGACTATGGCAGTAAAGTAAACTTAGGCTGTGACAAAATCAAACCTGGCGTGGGGGTGACGAAAGACAACAGACGAAACAAGAAGGACGAAAGGACGAAAACGAACTGGCACAAGACATGGGAAACGAGGACTATTTAAACACATGAGGGAGGGGAACCCCAGGTGTAAACAATAGGTAATCAAGACATGACGAAATAACCAGACATTCCCCCAGACGTGACATCGGGAGAGACGAGCAGAGAGAAGAGAGGGATGAACGGAGGGCAGGAACCAGGATCCTTCTCTTTTCTGTGACCTTTGACCTCTGGGCCTCATAGCAGACGCTATCAGACACTACTGTTTGAAATCTGAAGGAAAATGCTTTTAGACATGTTATCCGTTTATATCCATCCGTGTTAAATTTGGAAGAGAGGAACTTTAAATAAAGCTTCATTTGAATCTGCTGCTTGAACATATTGCAGTGTTTTATCTTAATTATCTGCCCTCAGAACGAATCAGAGGTTTTATTTAAGCTTTTTGCTTATTTCATTTTTCTTTTATAGACTTCTTCTACTTATTTTCACTGTGTTTTGTTGTCAGCACTGCCGAGTAGAACTGTTTCTGCAGATTAATTAAAGAAATTAAGACGTTTTCTTTCCCCTCCTAGTTTCCTGTTCTTCCTCTGTACCAGGATCCTTCTCTTTTCTGTGACCTTTGACCTCTGGGCCTCGTAGCAGACGCTATCAGACACTACTGTTTGAAATCTGAAGGAAAATGCTTTTACGAAACATTTTATATAAAAAGTTTATTGTATTTATTTATGTCATTTTATTCCTGTTTTAACACAGAAACAGCTTAAATGCAGAAAACCTTTTACTTTTGGGTTGTTTTTTCAAAGAAATTATATATTCATTTATTTGTTTTTT